CTGAACACTTTTCACTAATTGTGGAACTTTCTGTCAACTGACAACATGTAAAATTTGCAAGTATGTTAAAACTTTTCTGTACTTAAACCTCACAATTTATTTAGGCTGTAAGCAGCTGATGAGAAGCCGACGAAATAAATGATGGTTCCATATTATTCTGCACAAACCACTGTTGTTCTTGCTTTATTTAAAGATTACATGACAAAAGTATGTCGTCAATTCATAAAGTCATTGACAGTTGGTTTGAGCCATTCAGGTAGTTACAGACCCATATTTATCCTTATCTTTGTGGATTGTAGCTCGATTACATTTCTGTACGTTACTTATATGTGTGCTGCTTTTGCGAAGTGTATCAACTTCAGCTGATGCATTTGTGATCAAATCTCTAGGTTGATAAATTTGTTAGTGATTAAATTAATAGACATACATATAAACACCAACAAAAATTTGAATCAATTAACGTATCACAAAATGTTAAATATTTAGTGGATTTAAAAATAATAAATACGCCTTTAGATCAATTTCATGTGTTGGTGGTATAGCAGTTAGGACGCTCGCCGACCATGCACATGGTCCCAGGTTCGATTCCCGGCCGCCATACTCCTTTACCTCTCTTAGCCAGTGATAATGCTGGTAAAGAGAAAAGGTTGGGCATGAGGCTAGCCACCCCATCCTGTAAAATGAACACTGCTACAGAAAATTCAAGCCACTACCGTGGAGCCCTATGTTCCACTGGGGAATGTGAAGGAAAAATAAAAGATCAGTGTTAGTCAGCTTATTTGATTACCGTTGTAAATACGATACAAATGATTTACTGCCTTCCTACAATTTAATAAACAGAACATTTTGCTGTAAGTGACACTGATTGGTCGGTGGTTCAACAGTAGAACACGCTTGCCAACCACGCCTCACTTGGTCCAGGGTTCGATCCCCGGCCGACGCGCTCCTAGAACTAGCTAAACCAGCAGTAAGGCAGGTAAAGAAGGAAGGATGAGCGTGAAGCTAGCAACCCTACCCTGGTAAAGAAAACTTCAAAGCTCTAGCTTGAAGCCCTATATTCCATTCGCCAGATAGGTGGAGAAAACAATAAGAAAATCATAATAGGTGACATTGGATAAGTGCCTTATTGAGATAACCAGTTTATTTGTCTATTCATAATTAGTGGTACTTTGATGATGAAGTTCCAATAAAACAATAAGAAGAGAACGTAGTTTATTTAATTGAATTTTAGATTTTCCCGTCGATTGATTGGACCGAAGTGCTCCACCTCAGGTTGACATGTCGGCTTCTTGTGCAGATGCTTCGACGATGTCTGGGTATTTAATTAGAATTTAACTGGTGGATGGTGACTAGCAGTGGAATCGAGAATGCACATTTCGTCCTATTCGGGACTCGTCATCTGGATGTGGCTGGATTTCCCAGTGATTGATGATGTTCCCACCGAGGCTCAAACCCAGTGCCTGTAGTTTCAAACGCCGAAGCGTTATCCACTAGACCACTTGGGCTATGAGAGCTACCTCTTGTGCAACGGGTCACGTTAATTTAATTAAATTTTAGGACGAAATGCGCATCCTCGATTCCACTGCTAGTCACCATCCACCAATTAAATTCTAATTAAATACCCAGACATCGTCGAAGCATCTGCACAAGAAGCCGATATATGAACCTGAGGTGGAGCACTTCGATCCTATCAATCGACGGGAAAATCTAAAATTCGATTAAAGTAACATGACCCGTTGCACAAGAGGTAGCTCTCGTGGCCCAAGTGGTCTAGTGGATAACGCTTCGGCGTTTGAAACTACAGGCACTGGGTTCGAGCCTCGGTGGAAACATCATCAATCACTGGGGGATACAGGTACATCCAGACGACGAGTCCCAAATAGGACGAAATGCACATCCTCGATTCTACTGCTAGTCACCATCCACCAATTAAATAAGTAAGAAATTATATTTGTAAAATGTCAGAGAAATTGGAATGAGTAATTCCAACGTTTCGTCCGGCAAACTGGTCCAAACTTCTTCAGGGAAATTAATCGAAATTAACAAAATTGAGGCGTATATATAAAGAGGACATCTCTTGTTTTCTAAAAACTTTGTCCAGTCATATGAGTCATGAAACAGGCATCAAAATACAATAAACAAAATTGCATAAAGTTTCATCAAAATTTGACCTCAAACTTACTTTTGCAAAACACTATAAACAGTGTGTACTTTTTCATCAGATTTGCAGTGATAACGTTCGACTAAAGTTCATGGTCGTAGATATCTGAATATGAAAAACACATATGTGCATATCCGGTATACAATGGCGTGTGTGTGTGCTTGTATGGGGAAACAATTCTAAATCATTTGTCAGCCTCTCTATAAGAAGATACAGACAATCAGGAATTTAAATCAAGTATCATTGATTAGTGATATATATCCATTTTTTATTTATTAATCAGGACTTGCCATGCATCAGCTAACATCACACCTTCATGTCTGTTCAGACTTTTGGAATTCACCCATATATGTAGGGCTTTTGCATTCACTCTTTCTTCATACGAACCAAAACCTTTCCATAGAATCTTAATCCTATCAAAGTCGATTTTGTGTCCCGTTTCTATCGAGTGCAGCGCAATCACCGATCTGTTTCCCAGCTTCGTTAAGTCTTCAGAGGTCTTTGGAACCACCTTTAGTCATTGTTTATGCGTCACAGTCCACATAATTGATCTGGCACATAGAGTTCTGTTGGTTGTCTTCTATTTTATCCTTAGCCTTCACCTGTGATGAGAGTAAGGTGTTAGTTGCACGAAAATGCATTCTTATGTCATGATTGTTAGGCATTTGATTTATCTCATCCGATGTTTCTTTGTGCTAAGGAATTACCACTATGCTAACTCAATTCTTAACAACAAATTTCGTTTCATCCTTATCTTCAAATTTTAAATATCTTTTTATGAAGTCTTTGGGATGATTATCTGATTCAAGAGTGGACTGAACCAATTTTCATCTTCCTCCTCAGAAAGTAAACGTTTGGCTCTGTTAATCAGATTCTTGGCCACAGTTACTTTGGTGGTAAAGGGATGTGCTGAATGTGTTGGCTTTCTGAAAATGTTTATTTTAAGTTGACCATCTGGTTTTTTTTACTAAACAGTCCAGGAATCCTTTTCGTCGGATTCAACTTCTTTAGAACACTTAATAGTTTCTTACATATTGTTTATTAAATGAAAAAGTTCATTCAACATACTATTTCTGATTACGAAAAAGGTTTCATCTACGTATCTTAATCACATTCTTGGAGGACTAAAGCATCTCACAATTGTATTTGTTTCTAACTGAATGCATAAACAGAATGGCAGCTAGTGAAGACGCTGATGATCCCATAGCAATGCCTTCTGTTTTGCGGTAAAGAACCTCTCTAAATATAAATAGCGTGGAGCATTGACACAGTTCTATCGCCTTCATAATTTCATCTGGATTTAAAGGACAACGAGTTCGTTGTCACAACGAAGTAAATTATAGATAATACTTAAAGAAAATTTAATGAGAACATTCGTTTACCTGTCTAGCAGTTGTTACCAGTCCTGATGCTACCTACAGCTTCATTTCATTTTCAGTCATTATCCGGTCCACGATAATGTCAGCATCAGATAAGCATTAAGCATTTCAAGTTAATAAGCAAAATAATTTGAGACAGAAGATAAAAAAGGATATTCATTGCACTGTTCGGCTTTTAAATAGCCATATTTTCATGATAAAAAATTTACATATTTTCAAAAGAATGTTTACTGAACAAAGAATACTCTTTTCGATAACCTGCTCTTCATCAGGTTCTACAGTTATATATACATAATAGTGAATGAATGAATTAGTGTTATTAACAACATGAATGTTGTTTAAATAACATCGAATCAATAATGTCAGTAGATTACAGTTCAACAGCATCAACATAACAATAAACTGAATGTCAGAAAAATTAGGAAAGATGATAATACAAATAGTCTCTACTGAAGGCCAGGGCAGTAGTAGTGGCTGGACTTGTTTCTTCCACACACAGAGCACCGATTGTTTCAGGAGAATCGCGAAAGCCTCTGCTGTTTGGAGTATGCCGTACCTGGATTTTTCTGGCAATCTATTTGGTGCCCGGTAGATGATAGAAAAGGATTCTTCAATGCCAGCTGGCTTTATGGCCGGTTTCGACCAGATGGTCTAATATCCAACTGTTGATGGTTTTTACTACACCTTTACTTAGCCATAGGGGGAAACGTTCTCGAGCACGAAAAATCAAGTTCCTAGAGCAATGGTCGATATATCTGGCTCCACAAGAGCAGTTGAATTGGTAGATACAATTGGAAGTGGCTAGTCTAGGTACTTCATCTTTCAGTCAAGGTAGCACCATCGGTCGTGTAGAGAATAAGACGTGTAGTTTACCAGCATTAAAATTCCTTTGAACTGATTTTCCTAATTTCTTCGTAATTATTTCGCTAGGTATATCACCCTTGAATTGCAGCCGTATGCATAAAGGCTTCTTGTTTACGGATACTGAGTAGTCCTTATCCTCTTTCTTTGTCATGTGCTTCTTGATAAATATTTCGGGATAGCTATTTACAATCAAGGTATAAAATACAATGCTTAATTCATCTTCAATTACTTCTTCTGAGCATATAGCTCTAACTCTGTGGCTAAGGGTCTTAAGTAAATTTCTTTTGTACTTTAGAGGAACGAGGCTGGGAAAATGTGTATATTGTCCTGTCCATGTACTTTTTCTATACGAATTTCTCTTTATGCTACCATCTGGTTTTCTTGTAAGGAGGACATCCAGGAAGGCAATTCTGTTTTGTATTTCTTAATAATTGAGATGAAACAAAACGATATTGTTTTTTATTGACATTTCGCTATTTAATGCTAATAACTTAATCAAAGTAATTATGTAAATCATTAAATTTAAACTCTGTGTGCACATATATTTATATACCTTAGTTCATTTTCATTGTTAAACGAATGCTTCTTTATTCTAGATATGGGATACTAGAACTGGTCGACAATTACACCTTCTTACAGGTCATCAAGATGAGGTATTAGATGTAACATTTGATCCTAGTGGTCGACGTCTAGCCAGTGCTAGTGCAGATGGTACTGCACGTGTTTGGAATGTTGGTATAAGTGGTGATACAAAAAGTGCTAAATTTTTATCTACACTTATTGGTCATAAAGGTGAAGTTAGTAAGGTAAGTTTTAAATTCTAATTAAAATAAGTTTTAGAAAAAAAAGTTAATTTGTTAGTTTTATCCATCTTTTTTTAACTGATGTCAACTTGTATGATGTGTGTATATAATAATAAAAATTTTATTAAAGAATACCTTACACAAACATTAACGTACATTTAGTTAGACGTTGTATTATTCAGAAATTACAACCTTCAAAGGATCCGTTGAATCTTCTTACTCCTACTCTGAGATATGTAGGCAGGCTTAGATTGTCTTGTTGGTGGTCTCATGATATTGGGAATCACTGGTTGAAAACTTTCAGTATTTCAAACACATATCAGTACTCCTTGCCGGTTTTCAATGGTTCTCTAACTGATATCAATCCATGAGCGAAATTGAAAAAAAATTGAAAATCTCTACAAATTAACTTTTGGAAATTTATCTGATACTCACTAGTGACTAGCTACATGACGAAGTTGCCTGGAGTTCTAGTGAGACGTAGTGACCAGTGGGGTCCACTCTGTCGGGAGTCACCACCAATACTCGCTACGGATGGTATTGGTTGGTGCCAGTCACGCTAAAGTCACAAATTGGTCGAAGTTAGAATTCATGGGCTGGCTATTGAGTCGGATCCCAGTGACTGAATGATCTACAGGCTTGCCTTGTAACCGGAAGGTCCTGGGTCTGAACCCCGGTGGGCGCGTGCTGCAGATTAGTCCCAAACAAGAATAAAACGACGATCCAATGGTTCTTACTTTTTATTCCTTCACGTTACCAGTGGAGCATAGGGCTTCAAGTTAGAGGCTTGAAGTCTCAGTAGCAGTAGTGTTTATTTTTACGGGATGGGGTTGCTAGTCTCAAGCCCAACATTTCCTCTTCACCAGTTTTATTCCTGTGGAGGTAAAGGAGTGCGTCGGTGGCCTGGAATCGGACCCCGAACTACCTACGGAGTTGGCGAGCATTCTACTGCTGCGCCACCGACGCACAGTGATATAAATCCGTGGTTAAACTTGAAACCTAATCATATCGTTGAAAATTTTTACTAACGTTTATTCAAGTACTGTCTCTTAGCCTACCTTGTTTTTGTTTGGTGTAGGCTTCCTGTTTCTTTACTACTGCAAATTATGTCCAAGGGAAATGAAGCTGTTCTGTGTATACTTCTGTCTTTTAGTCTACAGATCTCCTAGATTAAAACTTGTATATTTTTCAAAGCGCTTAAGAAAAGTATTAAAATCACTGTAATAATTTCAATCCATTAATTGTTCTGTGGTCAGAAAGGGATTTCCTGAAATCCATATTACTGAAAGTTATTCAAAGTTCAGCATGAAAGGAAGCATCAAAGATAGGACTTCAGGTGAACATAGAGGAAAACAGAGGTGATGAAGATTCCTGGCCAACAGCAACAGCAACCACAACAACAGATAACAATCAGCCAGCATAAAGCAACCTCCTTCACCTACCTACCTACCCGGGAAGCGTTGTTTCGACTACATGCGGACGGAACTGGAGAGGATATCAAAGCGAAGATCGGAAAAGCAACGCAAGCTTTTAGTACTCTCGAGTCTGTGTAGAGATCGAAAGCACTCAACTTGACAAATAAGATACGGATTTTCAACTCCAGTTTGAAGTCAGTACTACTTTATGGATCAGAGACTTGGCGCCGAATCACAAAGGTGGCACTTCAAACAAACCACAGACCTTTATCAACAGCTGTCTTCGCCCAGTACTTCGCTCGAGATCAGATCGCTGGCCAGAAAAGATCAGCAACAGGGAAGGATCTCTGGGAACAAACGAGCCAAGTAACCAGAAGCCAATTATGCAAGAAATATGCAGGAAGAAATGGAGGTGGATTGGCTGGCCATACTCTGAGAAAACAGACCATCAAGTGACATCACACGCCAGGCTATTACTCGAGTGGAAGGCGAATGGGAAGCGGCGAGTTAGTTTATCGTCAGTTCGAGGGTGACATAAGGGGAGGAGGAGGTGATGCGAAGAGGAGATGAAAGCATGTGGGCAGAGGTGGAACCAGGTGATGGAAACGTTGACAGAGAACCGAATGCAATGGAGACGTGCGGTTGAATCCCTATGTTCCTCTATGAACTAAAGGAAACAGTAATAATAAATAACAGATAGTGAACATATATCAACGAGATAACTAAAAATTAGAAATCAATTCATACCTTTCTCATCATTGTTTTCTATCAGTGAAATATGTTTGTTTATCTCTGACCCCACAAAAAGGATAATGTCTAAATTATATAACTTTAAATGATAAGTGAGGCAGGTAGGTGAATACTACTTGTTGGTGACTATAAATGATTGTCTAGATGAATAAAGTTGAAAAGTATGCTCAACTGGAGCACAAATCAATATCCTAATCTACTAAACATTCAATTGATAGCGCCTAAATTTCATTCCATGTATGATCAGTAGTATCAAATATCATGAACTGTCATCTCAAATTTAAAAAAAATATTTCCTTATATTTTTATCCAGATTATATTAGTCTTCGAAAAAAAAGGATCATGAGATTTCCATTAGAATTTAGTTACACACTAATTGTAAGTTGAAGAAAAACGCTTATAAAACAAAAGAGCACTTAGACAGGTAATAGTCTCAAATCACTGAAAAAGTATCCAATAACAAGCATAAGTTTTACTTCAAATGGTCAACAAACTGATATCCACTGTTAAAGGAATTTAGAGATATTTTTTCATGAATTAAATCATCATCCGGCGGAACGGATGAAGATGCCAACATCAGCCAGAATCGAAAAGGTAAAATACGCCTTCATCAACCTGAAACCAATTTGGAAATCCTCTACACTCAGCGAAAGGAGCCAGATTTGGATTTTCAACACCAATGTCAAGTCGGTCCTTCTATACGGGTTAGAAACTTAGTCAGCGTGTCACGAAAAGGATTTCCAACAGGCCACTGCAAACTTTTATCAACAGCTGCCAACTTCGCTGGCTCCTTACTGAATAGCAAATGGCCAGAAACAATTGGCAACAAGATACCCCGGCTGGCAACAAACCAACCAAAAGCCGATCGCACAACAATATGTAAAAGAAAATGTAGATGGATCAGGCATACACTGGGGAGACGGTAGAATGACATCACGAACAATGCAGGCCATACCTTGAGTGGAATTCCAATGGGAAGTGGTGACGAGTGGATCGTCAGTGTAAGGGTGACATGCCGGAGATCGTGTGGCGAGGAGGAAGAGATGAGAGGTTATGGGCAGTCGTGCGACTAGCCAGCTGAAGAGGACATCAAAGAATAGAACAAAGTCTGGATGTGTTGTTGAAGTCCTATATTCCATTCTGAAGCCAAGGGAACAATAATAAAGTGTTATTCAATAAATGGGTATTTGTATTGATTAAACATCAATCGAAATCATCAAGTGATCTGTAAAATGCAAAAATGAAACTGTAACAACGGAAGGCGAGACACGGAAGCCAAGGTATACTTTTCATTAATCAAACCGCTGTTTATATATATACAATTTATTTCTTTAAATAATCAATCACTGAGCTTGTGATTTCGGTTTACATCAAACGACAAGAAATGGAATGTTCAAATAGGTATATTGTATTCCGTTGTTAATGCCGAATTGAACTGTGGGAACATGGGAGAATCATATTCCGTTGGTAGACATTATGTGTATCACACTACGACAATACTACTACTATTACGACTATTATTATTATTATTGCTATTATTAGGTTTGTTTCAATTCTCGTGGTAGTCTGGTGTTAACAGCAAGTGCAGATAAAACAGCTCGTCTTTGGGATTGTGAAACTGGTGAATGTAAAGACGTTCTCTCCGGTCACACAGATGAAGTATTCAGTTGTGCATTCAATTATGAAAGTGATACAATCATTACTGGATCAAAAGATAATACATGCCGTATATGGAAATAAAGAACACAAAATAAACTAACCATTATTATTATCATTAATTAAATCATTCTTAAGCTAAATAACACAATGCCATACATTCCATTCTCTAATTGTATCCTGTACAATACTCAAAATCATAAAAGGGAATATTTATGACTATGATGATGACGATGTTAAGAATACTACTACTACTACTACTACTGATAATAATGATAATCCCTTTTTGTTGTAAAATGCATTTTTTGTTTGTTTGTTTGTTTTTTGGTTTATCTTTGTTTTGTTCTTACCTGCATACACAAGTGACTCGGTGTTAAACATTTCATGCTTTTATAATAATCGATATATTTATGGCGCATATATCATTCTTTATTTCCTCACTCACTCACTCACTCACTCACTCACTCACTCACTCACTCACTCACTCACTCACTCACTCACTCACTCACTCACTCACTCACTCACTCACTCACTCACTCACTCACTCACTCACTCACTCACTCACTCACTCACTCACTCACTCACTCACTCACTCACTCACTCACTCACTCACTCATTCACTCACTCACTCACTCACTCACTCACTCACTCATTCAATTCATCCATTCACTCTTTTTTTCCTTCTATGTGTTTGTGGAAAGAAAGAAAAAAGTCGATCTGTACTCATCATAATATTACTTCTGTGTTTTTATTATTATTATTATTAATACAAGTAAATGAAATGATAGTATTAATATGTATGATAATAATGAATCGATGAAAATATATTTTTCATCATGCATATTTTGTGTGCATATATTAGTTGAAAAACATAATAAAATTGTTTAAAATTTGTAGTTATGTGTTGATCAGTGGTGCTTAGTGCATCTGTAGTTCACTGGTACAAAACTGGTCAACCAAAGAACTCGTCTGGAGTGCAATCCTCGGATGAGGCACTCTTCTACCTCACTTATCCGGAGAAGGAGAAGTTTAACATAAGGCCAACATGCTCATCCTGTAAAAACAACACGTCTGCTTTAGCTTGAAGCCCAAAGCTCTATGGGGAACGTAAAGGAATTAAAAGATATCAAGGTGAATTTAAACCACAGGCAGTGAAGAGGCATGAACGCATCAGTGAACCTGGAAAGCTCAGTTACCGAGTTAGTGAAATCACGTAAATGATACTATATTCATGAGAAAATATGCTTCATGAAGTGTTATTGATATGAAATAGGATATCTGGTAAGTTTAAGGTTATGTCTAGTCTAGGAACATGGAGGGTTACCTAGCCTAATTAGGTGAATATTACGGTTGGTTCGAGGTGGATTAGATTTAGGGTTAGGTTAAGGAAAGATTGGGATTAGAAGAACATATTTACCCTTCAGCGCTATGGCTGTTTTCAAGGTCAATGTTATTTTTGTGCCTCTTCGGTGCTTAAAGTTTGCTTTCTCTGGAACTAAAAAAAACAATTGTTTTACATATTAGTTGTGAATTCAACTGACTGTCTATTTTTACAAATACTATTCGATCAATAAGTGATAGTACTCAGCATAAAATAGTATATCATCCTTTCTCACGAATCGTGTGATTTATCTTATCATGGAGTTATTATGTGAATTTATCATTTTTCACGCATATTGTGGTGTTTAGTGTGTGATCAATTCGTCGTCTTTTTGTCTCACCTTGGTCTAAGTCGGATCACCAAACAATGAGAATAGACATTTCCAACCAATAAGAACAGTCCATTCTTACGGTTGTGAGCCTACTGTAATGTGATAAGTTAAATATATAAATATGAAGTTTTGTTTCCTAATAAATGTACATACAATACAATATCTTACACTGGCAGGCCAGCCTTTGTCTTTTGATATTTGTGTGGTTCAGTGAGTGGGAAGGTACAACGGACAAATAGACGTATTAGCATATCAGTTCATTACCGTTATAGTAATTAACAGGTGCAGACATAACAAAGTACCGACGGATTTACTCAGTTCCGTTCAGTTATAACAATAAGTTGCAACGACTACATCTTAACGCTTGTAATAGTGTTAACTCTGTGGATTCGTGTTACGTTTGTGTCAAAAATGCACAAATTTTCTGTTATTTTTCTTGACAAAATCAATTACTGAGCATGATAAGAACATTTTTTATCCATACTAAACTTTGACGATTGACGACCTTATAGAACAGTTTACTTCATTTCTATTGTAGTGAATATGTAACGTTAGTATCATTAACCACCGTTCGATTCCCAGCCACCAAAGCTCTCCTTTACCCAGCTAAGCCAGTAGTAAGACTGGTCAAGAGGGATGGTTGAGCATGAGGCTAGCAACCCCATCCTGTAAAAATAATCACCACTGTTACAGAAACTTCAAGTCTCTAGCTTGAAGGTGCCTTATGTTTCACTAGGAAAGTAGAGGAATAAAAAAATTTTAAAAAATCTAGTATTTCTATCATATATTGGACAGTTTTTTAAAGGTAGAGATAAGTAGGTATGTGTGGATTCTGTGTGGGTGTGTGCTTCAGTAGCACAGAGGTTAGGACGCTCGTCGACCATGCACACTTGATATCAATGGTCGGCCTGCTGAATTTGGGCTACTGATATCACATGCTGAAAATTCCATACTTCTACCGAAAATACTGTGTGGAATCAAGCTATAATAAAATAAATAAAATAGATATTTTCGAACCATAAAGTATAATTGACTAGAAAATTATATTTTAAAAGCAACTTGATAAGAACTAAGTAAAACGTTACACAGGAATTTATTATCCCTGCTAGGACTAGGCAAACTGTCAAAGTGCCTCATATGCAGTAACATCACAAGTGAGTGATGTAGTCAGGAGCACGTTTTACTACTTAGCGTTATATTGATATAGGCATAAAACTTAGGCACTGTGGTAGAGTATAACTCCATTATAGATAAGATTTTATTTTGATAAATAACACAGTGTTGTACAGTAATATTCACTGATGATCACATTTAGAGCACAAATTATTGCTGCTCATAATCACATCAAGGCACACACAACTTTCTTGCTTCATTTATATACATCAGTAAAAATTGATGATTACTCGTTTGAATAAAATCAGTATAAGGTAAAGTACATTCAGAAATAGTATTACTGTTATCAATAAAATGCAATAAGATGGGAAATAAGATATTTTTATAGTAACATAAATAAATAACTTGTTAGGAAGTTATGATGTGAACTGAAATACATTTTTACATTATTTATTATCCTCTGATTTGACTGGTAATAATATCTTCCATATCTCTGGTATTTGTGTTGAGTCATTTCTGTTGCATGTGTTGGATGTAGACTCGATGAACTAGGCTGGATTCAGTAATCAAGCTGTCTCAATCTCCACCTACCTATATTACTTTTTGTAATTTTGACTCTGTTCCACCCACCCTATTGTGTGGTTGTGTGTTAATGCATGCAGTGCGATTGCTGAGATTTTTTCTACATTATTTATCTTTGCGGGTGGGTTCAGTCATTTTTACCTTAGATCAATTCTTATGTTCCGACAATCTGACTACCCCCGACCTACTAGTTTGACCTACGTAGTTGACCTCACAGTCATTGCAGGGTATTTTGTAAATTACATTATTTTGTCTAACTGGGTCAACCGACAGGGTCCTTTAACCTACAGAGCTTGTCTCAACTGAGTGAGTTTGTAGGTTTGAATTCCACCCTAATTCCTGGTTTATTGTGAATCCTACTTAGGGCCTCAGACGTCCTCTCCTTATGTGGTAAAACAGTAGATACCTTATATTCTTTCTTATTAATGTTGTCATTATTAGTTTCACCATTATTTTTATTTTGTTTTTAACCTTTTTTGATATTCCTAATAGGATAGTTATTTGACACCAACGCTTCTTCTATCTGTTTCATTTCATCATTTAGGTTTTTTCTTGTACTACTTAGTTCTATTGCTCCGTTTGTTAGACATTTAACCAAGCCAGCCGTTACAGACAACGAACGGATGAGATAAATTAAAGTTTAAATGTCTATTAACAGAATGAGTTGGCTTTTTATAATCTTTTTACAATCTGACATCATGGCTAATTCTCCTTGTTCATTTTCGGCCTCAAATGTGAATTTTATTCCCTTTAATAGTGAGTTTAAATGTGTCAAGAAGCTAGAGATATGTTCTGTTTTTAAAACTGAAAATGTCATCCACATATCTCCACCATATTTTTGGAGTGGGATTAAATGGATTTAGAGCAATATTTCCCCAGCTGTACATAAAGATATCTGCTACGATAGGGAATATTGGTGATCCCATCGCTACACCATCTGTTTGTTTATACATTTTGACCTGGAATTTAAAGACAGTAGATGTGAGGCATAACTGAATTCCTAAAGTAACTTTCTCAATGGGCAGCTTTGTCCTATGACTAAGTTCGGGATCAGAAGTTAGTTCTCTTTTAACCACTTCTAAGGCCATAGTGATTGGTATATTAGTCAACAGACTAGTTATATCAAAACTAACCATTTTTCATTATTCTCTCATTGAATGTAATTTTGTTTCCTTTTCATTTCATGTGAATTAGCAGTCTAGCCTAGCCTTATGGGACATAGTATCAGAGCTAAGTGTTTTGATAATTCATATGTCGGCGTATTCCTGAAATCTACTATTGGTCTTATTGGGTAACCTGGTTTATGTATTTTTATAGTACCATACATTCTACCAGCGTTACTAGTTTTAGGCATTAAGTTAAACTATTTATATTCATCCATTGACAGCTTCATACTACGTATTAAGTCCGCTGTAAATTTCTTAGTCTTATTCATTACTGTATCTACAGACTTCTTAATTTCCTCATATGGACCCGTTTCAATGTGTTCAGTGACTTTCTTTATATAATCAGATTTATCCAAAACTACTGTAGAGCTTCCTTTATCAGCTTTTGTGATGACGATGTGTTTATCATTTTTACGATTAATTAAAGCTAATCTTTCTGATTTTGTGAAGTTCGACTGTGCTTTCTTTTGCTTTTTAAGAGTTAATGCACATTGAGTTCGAACCTCTTCTGCTGTCGTCTTGTCTATTGAACTTAGTGCTACTTCTATGTTAGGGATAATATTGTCTGGTTTTAGTTTGCTAACAGTTACATTGAAATTCAATCCTTTTTTATCTTTTATTGATTTTATTCAAATGTCTAATCAATTTTACTCATATATATACATGAAGTAAAAAGTTGTATGAATGACTTGAAATGACTATGAGTGGCAATAATTTGTGTTCGAAACGTGGTCATCATTAAATATTACTGTGATTTATCAAAATAAAATCTTATCCATAGTGGAGTTAGCGTTATATTGTCCATCTTGTACAAGGGTGATTTTGAATGCAAGACTTCAGTCTATTAGTTCTGTTTATTTAACAAAAAGTTAGTGAATAACTGCTTA